TCATTAAATGATCACATATCAACAACGCATAAAAACGATTTATTACCAAAAATTAATCGAATTAATTAATTAAATTGATTTAATTGATGAATTTAATTAATTAAAAATGATTTCAACCGGAAGTTTATGCTGCTTGAGTGTTTAAAAAAATCATAAAATAATAATTACGAACTTCTATGAAAATGAATTAATTAATTAATTAAAGGTAAAAGAAAAGCGATTATTACAATATGTATTATACACTGTACCAAATAAAAAAGAAATTATTGAAAAGAAAACAACAACATGATGATAATAATGATAATAATAAATAAATACATTTCCAACAATAATTCGATTTATCCTTTTTTATATATTCCTTTTTTAAACTTAAGAATTATTTTTTTTTATTTTCGTTTTTTTTTTAGGTTAGTTTTTAAGGTGGACGATTTCCCCCAATAGATGGCGCCACGAATAAGAGGTAAATTATTTTTTTTTTAATTAATTAGGTTTTAATTAACTGACACATTTATAATAAGATCATATTACTGAAGATATTATTAACATTTTTTTCGAATTTACTTTGATTAAATGACTAATTTTGACATTATCATGACATTTTTACTATTCTTTTTGAGATAATGCTTTGACGTTTTTTGAAATTTCTTTAATAATTAAAGTACGAATAGGATCGGAAAATGCATAATTATATTTAATTTAAATTAAAAATTTGTTCAAATATAATTAGTTTTCCATTACCAACCTAAACATCGTAAATTTTTCCATGAGTCATTTCTTGACGTTTCATTAAAAAATTTATTTAACTGATTTTGCGGTAGAAATAAACCTAAAACTAGAAATTTTTAAGTTAATTATTATTGAGGTTGCCATTATTACATTATTATTATAGTAATAATAATGAATTACAAATTAATTAATTTTAAATTGATACGTGCAGCGCCATCTATCATCGTTCCGCCAAAACAATCCTTACAAGAAAAGATTAACTTATTTTTAATTAGTAAATCAATCACTTTATTTATTTCTTAATTATTTTAATTAAATAAGTGATTTACGGATTTTAATTAATAAATCAATAAGTAAAAAGTTTTAATAAGATTTAAATTTGACGTTTTATAACGCCATCTATTAGTAATTAAAGCAACTATTTGCGTCTTTATTAAGTGTCATTTTTTGACGTTTCATTAAAAGAAATGTAACTGATTTTGCGTTAGAAATAAAACTAAAACTAGAAATTTTGAGGTTATGCCGTGCGTCTTTGACGAACGGCATAACCCTAAAATTTCTAGTTTTAGTTTATTTCTTATTCCATCATCAGTAACGGTTGTGAAAAGTTTTACTTGAAAAAGTGAGGTTAGGTTGGGTTGAAAAAGTACTTCGAAGACGTTGAAAAAGTACTTAAGAATCGCTAATATGAAAGAAAATCTTCGAGGACGCACTGAGTGAGTAAAATAATTTTTTTATAATGAATCGTCAAAAAGTGTCACTTGGAAAAGTAAGGTTAGATTTAATTTGAAAAGTGAGGTTGGGACGAAGAGATAGATAAACAAGAATAACACATTTCCCGCCCCCGACACAACGAAATGTTCAAACATTTTGGAATTATTAATGTTTTTGTAATGACTAATGACAATTAACAAATAAAAAAAAATAATTAAAAAAAATTTCAGTTTTGAGGTTGGTTGTTCTGTCGCGTGAAGTCATTACGTCAACAATAAATTGACAAAGACGGTTGTATCTTAACCTCACTTTTTAATTACTAATTGTATATTGCAACAAATACAAAGTGTAGTGCGGTTAAAATGTAATAAAAGGCTAGTTTTGTTTGTTTATAACGATCAACGTATCTTTTAAGAGTCATATTAAGACCCATGAAATAATTTCTCAAAGATGGTGAATTGCCTTTTATTGCTAAAATCTACTCAAAACTCAAAGTAGATTGGAGGTCAATTAAAAGTGATTTCAAAGAAACATTTCAATACTTTTTTAATCAAATTTATTCATAAATAAATAATAAATTATATAAAATATTAAAAATATTTATTTTTAAGCGCCATCTATTATTTGATAATGAAAATAAAAATTAATTTTGATTATTTTCAACACAAATAGCGTTTCAAAACCAACAACAGACTTATAATTATTGTTAAAGTAATTGTTACCACTATTATTATAGTAATAATAACTTACAATTAATTACAAATTAATCAATTAATTTTAAATCGATGTGTGAAGCGCCATCTATCATCGTTAAACCAAAACAACCGTTACAAGATTTTTAATTAATAAATCAATAAGTAAAAAGTGTCAATAAGATTTAAATTTGATGTTTTATAACGCCATCTATTAGTAATTAAAGCAAGTATTTGCGTCTTTATTAAGTGTCATTTTTGACGTTTCATTAAAAAAATGTATTTAACAGATTTTGCGTTAGAAATAAAACTAAAACTAGAAATTTTGCGTCAAAGACGCACGGCATAACCTCAAATTTCTAGTTTTAGTTTTATTTCTTATTCCATCGGTAGTAACGGTTGTGAAAAATGTTATTTGAAAAAGTGAGGTTAGGTTGGGTTGAAAAAGTACTTCGAAGACGTCGGCCGAGTTTACTTTTTGTGGCGAGATCGCATCTTATTAATCGCTAATATGAAAGAAAATCGTCGAGGATGCACTGAGTGAGTAAAATGATTTTTTTTTTAATGAAACGTCAAAAAATGTTACTTGGGAAAGTGAGGTTGGGACGAAGAGATAGATAATCAAAAATAACACGTTTCCCAGCACAGTTTTAAACTAACACGGCCGTTTTCGAAGACATCGGCCGCCCCCGAACATACGAAATGTTCTTTCTCACAAATTCTTAATCACACTTTTCCAACACAACCTAACCTCACTTTTTCAAATGACATTTTTTGATGTTTCATTAAAAAAATTTAACTCACTCAGTTTTAGAAATAAAACTAAAAAGAAATTTCCGTTATAGAAGCTCGTTTTAATCGCTCGTACAGGTTTTACGTTATAAAAAGAATTAAATATTAAATAGTAATTCACTTTCTCGTCTAATTCACTTTTTAGACTTTTTGCGACAGATGGCGTTATCTCCTATGCGTCTTAAAGTGACATTTTTTGACGTTTCATTAAAGAAAATTTGATTTAATTTTGCGATAGAAATAAAAATATTATTACAAAGTGTACGAAAATGATTGATAGTAAATCAATTTAATCTTAATTTTATGTATTATTCTTATTATGATGCTTTTTCGCCGCACAACTTCAAGTCTGTCAATTTGCGGCCGATAAAGTAGAACGCTTTATCGACTTATTAAATATTTAATAATCGGATTAAATTGTTTAATAAACACTTAAAAATCAACAATTTAATCATTTTTGAATCAAAAATTTTATTAAAAACTCATAATTATTAAAAGTGAAATTCTTAAAAATAAATAATCACAAAAACAACATAACCTAACTTAACCTCACTTAAGTAACGCTGTTCGTGTGTTTATTCAACAAGTTAATTTAAAGAAATGGGCAAAAATCACCGTCATTCGAAGAATTTAAAATCAAAGAGGTCCAAAATCAAGTTAAAAACCCAAAAAACCAAGTTCTTACTGAAAGGCCTAAACGTAACCAACACCAACTTCAAAATAAAACCAATTGTGGTTCCTCATCAACTTGTGCAGCACAAATCTCAGGTTACCTCGCAAAATCCCGATTTTAAAAACATCATGTACCGAATTAAACATCACAACGTAACAGTTAACCTAAACAGTTTACAACAATTAAAGGAATTCATTTATATGGTACAAAATAATGTTTTGTTATTATGTTATGTTATTATTATTGAGGTTGCCATTATTACTACTATTATTATAGTAATAATAATGAATTACAAATTAATCATTTAATTTTAAATTGATGCGTACAGCCCCATCTATCATCGTTCCGTCAAAACAATCGTTACAAGAAAACGTTAATTTATCTTTAATTAGTAAATCAATTACTTTATTTATTTCTTAATTATTTTAATTAAATAAGTGATTTACTGATTTTAATTAATAAATCAAATAAGAAAAAAGTTTCAATAAGATTTAAATTTGATGTTTTATAGCGCCATCTATTAGTAATTAAAGCAACTGTTTGCGACTTTATTAAGTGTCATTTTTTGACGTTTCATTAAAAAATGTATTTAACTGATTTTGTGTTAGAAATAAAACTAAAACTAGAAATTTTAGGGTTATGCTGTGTGTCAAAGACGCACGGCATAACCTTAAATTTCTAGTTTTAGTTTTATTTCTTATTCCATCAGTAGTAACGGTTGTGAAAAATGTTATTTGAAAAAGTGAGGTTAGGTTGGGTTGAAAAAGTACTTCGAAGACGTACTTTTTGTGGCTGTTTCAAGCGAGATCGCATCTTATTAATCGCTAATATGAAAGAAAATTTTCGAGGACGCACTAAGTGAGTAAAATAATTTTTTTTTTAATGAAACGTCAAAAAAATGTCACTTGGAAAAGTGAGGTTGGGACGAACAAGTAGATAAACAAAAATAACACATTTCCCAGCACAGTTTTAATCTAACACGGCCGTTTTCGAAGACATCGGCCGCCCCCGGAAACACGAAATGTTTATTCTCACAAATGCGAGTAAAGTTCCAACTCGAGGTTTTCAAGGTTTTTTTTAGACTTTTTGCGACAGATGGCGCTATCTCCTTTGCGTCTTTTACAAGTGACATTTTTTGACGTTTTATTAAAGAAAATTTAATTTTATTTTGCGATAAAAATAAAAATATTACATCGATTGATTGATGGTAAATCAATTTAATCTTAATATTATGTATTATTCTTATTATGATGCTTTTTCAACTTCAAGTCTGTCAATTCGGGGCCGATAAAGTAGAACGCTTTACCGATTTATTAAATATTTAATAATCGGATTAAATTGTTTAATAAACGCTTAAAAATCAACAATTTAATCATTTTTGAACCAAAAACTTTATTAAAAACTCATATTTAAAAGTGAAATTCTTAAAAATAAATAATCACAAAAAACAACATAACCTAACTTAACCTCACTTAAGTAACGCTGTTCGTGTGTTTATTCAACAAGTTAATTTAAAGAAATGGGCAAAAATCACCGTCATTCGAAGAATTTAAAATCAGAGAGGTCCAAAATCAAGTTAAAAACCCAAAAAACCAAGTTCTTACCGAAAGGCTTAAACGTAACCAACACCAACTTCAAAATAAAACCAATCGTGGTTCCTCATCAACTTGTGCAGCACAAATCACAGGTTACCTCGCAAAATCTCGATTTTAAGGACATCATGAACCGAATTAAACATCACAACGTAACAGTTAACTTAAACAGTTTACAACAATTAAAAGAATTCATCTATATAGTACAAAATAACGTTTTGGATAAGTACGTTTTACAAATATGCGAATTACTTTGTCCGTTATACGTACACATCGATCAAAAATTACGCCGAGAAGCTATAACTTTAACACATCATTTAATTAAATTGATTAAAAGTGTTGGAATTGAGCCCCACATAAACAGAATTGTATCATATTTATGTTGCATGATGACACATCTTAACGAAAACGTCCAAGAAGATTCTTTACGACTGTTCGATGTTTTAATCCAATCGATTCCTGGATTATTAGCAACAAGATGTGATAAAATCATCCAAAATTTTGTTTTATTAATTTCAAAAATTAAAATTAACGCGAATGATAAATCGATGTTGCAAACTACGATTAAAAATAAACGAACAAGTGTTGAATGGCGTTTAATGGTTTTAACAAGATTCAACGAGTTTTTAGGGGTGATTTTAACCAGGAAGAAACAAGAAAATGTAATCGATATAGTACCAATTAATATTATTAAAGTGGAAAGGCAAAGAATTAGTGCTCCGATTTATTATAAAAAGGAAGAAATTGATATTTATCGTGATGATATCAATGTTGATGTTTGGTTGGATGATTGTGTTAAGGATGTTTTGGTGTTATTAAAAGGGATTTGGTTGGAAGTTCAACCTAGTAATAAGCATTCCATTCAATCAGGTACTTAAAATTTAAAAATTAATTAAAATTATTAATAAAAATTGATTTTTTTTAGCGCAATTATTTTGTACTGTGATTAATAACGAGGTTTTAAACATTTTGCATTGCATTTTGAGTATAATTAGTTCCTTTTATGAGTTGATGGTGATTAAAACTCAAGAAAATCAAGAGATTAAAATTGTAGGTTAATTTTTTGACACATGACATAACCTCAAATAATTCAGGAATTATCGTGTTGCTTAAAAATCGATAATTTGGTTTTTTAATCGACGGGAAATCACTCAAGTAAGTCGTTACATATAAAAAAAAAGTAAAATTTATCGAAAAATTACTTTAAAGTTTCGACGTGACGTATATTTTAAGGGTTTTTTCGATAGATGGCGCTATCTCCTATGCGTCTTAAAGTGACATTAAGAAGTGAAGGCGATTAATTATCGAGATATTTAATTATTGAGATAATGAATTGCATTTTAATATACGAGTTAGTTACGATATTTTTCCGTTGACTGTTTTTTCAACAAAATAATTCTATCACTGGCAAACTTTAAGAAAGTCCAACCGAACTAATATAATAGTCAATTTAGTAAATATTCTCGAATGAAATCTGTAATACCGACCACTACATCTATTCGGTAAGACTACAATAATAAATTTTGACTTTTGACACATTAAAATCGTTTATTAATAGAAAATCGTGTATTAATAGGTGTCATTAATGATTTTGTATACATTTATAAATCATATAAATACAGGGTCAATGATTTTGCGTTAGAAATACAACTAAAACTAGAAATTAGATTTTTTGCGCCAGATGGCGCTATCTCCTATGCGTCTATCATTTATCAAGTGTCATTTTTTGACGTTTCAATAAAAAAATGTATTTAACTGATTTTGCGTTAGAAATAAAACTAAAACTAGAAATTTTGAGGTTATGCCGTGCGTCTTTGACGCACGGCATAACCCTAAAATTTCTAGTTTTAGTTTTATTTCTTATTCTATCGGTAGTAAGGACTGTGAAAAATGTCACTTAAAAAAGTGAGGTTAGCTTGTATTGAAAAAGTACTTCGAAGACGTCGGCTGAGTTTACTTTTTGTGGCTGTTTCAAGTTTCTTATGAATCGCTAATATGAAAGAAAATCTTTGAGGACGCGCTGAGTGAGTAAAATAATTTTTTTTTTAAATGAAACGTCAAAAATGTCATTTGGAAAAGTGAGGTTGGGACAAATAAATAGATAAACACAAATAACACATCTCCCAGCATAGTTTTAAACTAACACGGCCGTTTTCGAAGACATCGGCCGCCCCTGAAAACACGGAGTTTCATTCTCATAAATGCGAGTAAAGATCCAACTCAAGGTTTTCAATGTTTTAGCACCCGTGATGTCCGGGGGCGGCCGATGTCTTCGAAAACGGCCGTGTTGGTTTAAAACTGTGCTAGAAAATGATGTTGAGGATTTTTAATCACACTTTTCCAACACAACCTAACCCCACGTTTTCAAATGACATTTTTTTGACGTTTCTACGTACATTTTACGGCGTTTAGAATCAAAATATAGACCCAAATCGGTTTTATATGATGCATTTTTATGTTTTATCGCAGACTTGGTTCAGATTAACATATTTTTGTTCGTTTTATTTATTTCTATTCATTTTTATTTCGTTTTAGTTATATTTAGTTTTGTTTGGTTACGTTCGATTATTTTTAGTAACTTATTTTTTTCACGTTTTGTCGGTGTGAATTTGTTGGCGTAAAATCGCAATTTTATTTAATCAATAAATTAATCTTTATTTAAGGATTATAAATAAATAAAATCAATGTTAATAATAATTAAAATAAATAATAAATGAAATAATTTTCTACTTTACCGACAATATAACGTACTTTATAAGCGTACAGATGGCGCTACTTCCTACGCGTCTTTTTTAAGCGACTTTTTTGACGTTTCATTAAAAAAACTTTTATTTAACTAATTTTGTGTTAGAAATAAAACTAAAACTAGAAATTTTTAAACCTAAAATTTCTAGTTTTAGTTTTATTTCTTATTCCATCGGCAGTAACGGTTGTGAAAAATGTTACTTGAAAAAGTGAGGTTAGGTTGGATTAAATGGATATTTTGTGTCCTGTGAGTTTAGTTTCTGTGGCTGTTTTAAGCGAGATCACTTATTATAAATCACTAATATGAAAGAAAATCTTCGAGGACGCACTGAGTGAGTAAAATAATTTTTTTTTAATAAAATGTCAAAATGTCACTTGGTAAAGTGAGGTTTGATTTAATTGGAAAAGTGAGGTTGGGACGAACTTAAGATAGATAAACAAAAATAACACATTTCCT